TGAGTCCATTTCTGCTCCTTCTGGTACTTACCTATATCCAACCATTTCTTTCTCATGAAAGGTATAAAATAAAAAAAATAAAAAACAGAGCGATGTCACCGATACGCTAATTTGCCGAAACATTGCATAAAGGTAACAGGAGAAGGTGAGCGAAAGAGAAGAGAGCGGGAGGGAGGATGAAACTCCAAACACAATACACAACCAACTACGAAATGTATGATAATAACCAAAGAAGACAATAAAACAAAGTTGCTTGTGTCCAAATCGAATTGGTGTAAAGAGTTGTGCAAAAATTAAAAAAAAAAATAAAAAAAAATTAATAAAAAATTAAAAAAAAAATTAAAAAATAAATAAAAAAAAATGAAATTAAAAAATTAAATAAAAAATATAAATAAAAAATATAAATAAAAATTATAAATAAGAAAAAAATAAAAAATATGAATAAAAAAAAAGAAAAAAATGAATAAAGGAAAAACGAAAAATATGAATAAAAAATAAATAAAAAATATATGAGAAATATGAATAAAAAAAATATTAAAAAAAATAAAAGAAATAAAAAATAAAAGAAATAAAAAAAATTTTAAATTTATAATAAAAAAGAAATAAAACAGAAAAATCAAATTTAAAGGAAAATGTTTTTTTCTACGAGCATTTGACGAGCATCAAATGGTGCGATAACGGTCGCCATTGAGGGTTACGTTCTCAACGGCATCATTTTAGAAAATATATGGACCCATGATTCCAAAGCCCACAAACCACACCAAACATTGTTTTTTTCTGGATGAAATGACAGCCCTTGCATCTCTTCAGTTTGGTCTTCGTCCCAAATGTGGCAATATTGCTTGTTTACATACCCATTAATTGTTCAGATACGAGTACTTAAATGGTATACCATAAATTTTATATGGTAATGAAAGTTACAAATACATCACCGGCATGAGCCAAGACAGCTCTTCTTTTTTCATTATAATTTTGATGATTTTGCTGTTCATTTCAACTTTTTAGTTAGAACAGTTTTCCGATGTCTCTTATTGATTTTAATGTTATTATATAATTGATGTTGTTGTTATTTTCTTCTATTTTTACAATGTTTTATTTTTTATTTTTAGTATTTGTTTAGTAAAATTTATGACTGCTTTTGCCATAAATTTCTGTCATTTCTAATGTTTTCAACATTTCGATTTTAGTTTCGCAAAATGTTTTTGTTTACATTTGTGAAAACACTACCATCTCTGCATGCACCTACATATGTACATGGGTATATACATATTATTATATATAGACTTTTAACGGCAGGTGACAGATTTCACTCTAATTAAAAGAAGAAATAAAATGTTTTCGATTGGTGATGTTACGTGGGTGGTTTGAGATGCTAGATTCAGGCCCTGACATACTTAAATTGTGCCGCTTATATGCACATACATATATATGTATGTATTTATTAATATTTGAATTTATCTACATTGAATATTGAATACATATTAATAAAAGTGGGGGAGGCAATGGAAATTGAAAATTATAAAATAAAAGAAGATATTTAGCTTCTTGCGTCAGAGGTAGTGGAAATTACGGACCTGCCTCTCTGCTGAGCTGTTATTTATGTTATTTATAACAATATATGTACATAACTACGTGCTCCTCGGCTCAGTAATTTGGAAATATTTCAGATACATATGTAGAAAAAAGTAAAAAAAAAAGTACACTCAAAAACACGTTTTTTTTTTTATCATTTTTCGAAATTAAATCGCACTGTATCCACTAATTGCCACCATTCCTAATACTGCTCATATTTTTACGAAATACCGGTGAGTTATATATTTTACAAAAAACCTCAATTTGCCTACTACATTTTATTTTTTTTTGATTTTTGAACTCTCATTTCTTCGCATATTTTTTAATCGCAGACAAATTAAATTATTTTATTTATTTATTTTTCTAAAATAATTTGATTTATATTATGTAAAAAACACATTTTTTGTTTTAAAGTTTCTCCATTTGTCAGAAAACATATTTCCGCATCAATTAAATGAAAAATCCTCGAGTTGACATTTTTCGTGGAAAGAAAATAACAGATTGCGATTAGCACGAAAAATAACAAAAAAAGTAAAACTGTTAATAATAGCAGATGTAGAGTGAAATAAAAAATAAAAATAAAAATAAAAAAAATTAAAAAAATATATAAATCTTTTAGCTACTGAAACTACACTTATTGCAAAAAGTATTCGGCATTCAAAAATTGCTGCCACTGCAAAAGTAATGAAAAATGTCGCCCCAATAATGTCAGTTCTCACCACTAAACTTTCAATACTACTCATTCAAAAAACACCTCTTGACTATGGATTCATCACAACTTATCAATTGGTTTTGAAACTCCATTCTTTATATTAGATACATGGGAACTTTGGGTCTGCAGTAGCACTCGTAACGTAATATAAACTATCCAACTCACTCATATGTTATATAAACTATCCATGGAATGAAAATTTTCAATTTTGTACTTGCTCGTGAAACTTCTAACTTATATAGCTTTTGCTTGAAAAATCTCGTATTTATTCGAAACATCTCAACAGACTCGAATCAGATTTTTAAATATGTTGTTATTGCGGTCCCCTCTCGGCAGGGAAAGTCAACCTCTCCGAGTACATTTTTGACATTGAATTAAAAGTTGCTTGTAAAAATCCGTCTTCCATTCAAAAGCAACTTAGAGTGAACTGCAAGTTTCTTCATTTGTTGGAAAAACTTCAATACGCATACCTTTGATGGTAGGAGGAACTTGGACGAAAATCGCTTAAACGTTTTATAACGTTATCATTGATTTAATTTCCAAACACTTTTTGAACTCAATATATCGAAGACAAATACATATACATATGTACTAAAAATATTATCATTGCCAAGCCTGGCCAGCGGCGTCTATTGGCCGGTAGTTGGCACTACTTGCGACAGTGGCACAAACAAAGTTGTAAACTGTTGCTCAGTTGTCAAATTATAACTGTCAAGTTGGCAGCAAAGTGAAATGCTTCTGACACTAGAGTTACATAGAAATTGTACATGATGTGCATATATTTTTATATATAGGAGTATATAAATAAGTAACTGCATGTATTTAGGTGTATATATATACGTACATACTCACCCTGCCCACTGTTATGTAAACATTTGAAATGCAGAGGGCCGCGGTAGCCGAGTGGCCAGGAAGGCCAGGTTTCAAATCCTGATGCCGCTACCATCCAGAAAGTTATAGAAAATTAATTTCAATAGAAAATTAAGTTAAATTTTCTAATTACGGTCGCCCCTCGACAGGGAATGTCAACGGCTCCTCATAAAAAATCATCAGCCGTTCGAAGGCGGCTTAGTATAAACTGTAGATCTCTCCATTTGTTGGAAAAACATCAAGACACAAACCTACAAATTGCAGGAGGAGGTCGGTCGAAAATTGCTTCAGCGGTTACAAAGTGCCATATATATATATTGTATATATATATGTCGTTTTACGAGGTGTGCTCAACAAATAGCGAAAATGTTAATTTCTTCAACATAATATTTATTTATTATGTGGACGAAAACAGTATCCATTGGAGAGCGATTCTTCTGGTCTTCGAAAACACTTTCGATTGCAAAACGTCGGTTCTATGAGGTTCTTTTTATTTTTGGAATTCCCAAAAAGTCGTATGAATCAATATTTGATGAATTTGGAGGATGGCTAATTGTTACTTGAATGTTGTACTCCTTATTGAATGTTTGACCTTGTGGCAGGAATCCATGATAAAC